GCGAAAACAGGCCACTTTCGCAGTTTCTCAAGTGCGTCTTTACGATGAAGATCGAATTTGCTTTACAGGACCACGACTTCAGGGAAAGTCTAACGATAAGGATAGTGTCTTTCGCTAAAATTATTGCTGGCAAAGTCCTGCTATCACACGATGGGTCGAAATCACCAGGCCCAGGTGAGGTATCGACGAAGTTGCTGAAACATTTGGACGGCGACTTAATCAAGCAATTATCAACAATTTTCCCTTCTCAGTTTAAGTTTGGACCTTTTTGCGACACGATTAAATACCTGGAGGTATTCAACCGCTATATGAGTGCGGCAGCAAAGTCCTCGCTTGCAGTATCATACCTGTTTTCTCTATCTACGTCTCCTGCAGAATTATGGTGGAAGCAATTTAGCTAGAAAATTGTCGATGGAAGCACAGAGTTGAGTTCCAGGAGGAATTTAGGAAAACCCGATCATTGGAACAGAAATTTTATTAGCTTGAGGTTTAGAATTCCCTCTTAGTTTAAAGTGCATGTCGTCTACACTGACTGTAAAAAGACAGTCAATAGTGCTCCACATGGGCGTCTTCTGCACAAAATTTATCGGACCGATGTAATGGATTCCGTTCGGAAAAACTGTTTCTGCATAGTAAGCTGAACACTAGCAAGCTTAAACTGCAGGTGGATAAATTAATTCGGTCTCAGAGAGATAATGCTTATGGTGCAAATGCAAATCTCCGCAATCCCATTGCGCATGACACACTTTAGCGTAGCCTGCGGTATTTTAACCCACGGCATCTTGACTAGACACCAGCGCTTCCAACCATCTGTCCAGGTTTGCAGTGTCGAACACCACAAATAGTATGCATTAGTAATATTGATCTTTCCCACCCCTACAAACCGTTTCCTATTCCTTATGACAAAACTTATTTGTATTATTAAAGAACCCAGAAGAACTCTGAGCCTATCCAAATCGAATGAAAACGAGTTAAACAATGAAGTGCAGACACGCTGGGGGGGATGCTTGAAACACAAAAAGAGTTCTTAAACCGGAAAGAAACCTAGATATACCACGAAGATATAAAGGCAATGTTTATGAAGCAAAATAAAATTAAAGCACCGTAACGCGTTAAAAAGGATCTGCGAACAGTTTATGAGCCAGATCACGCATCCCTCAAGGAAACGAAGAACATCAGTGGATTCCGAACTAAGAGAAACGAGAAGAGAAAAGACCGAAGTTGCTAGAACGAACCTCTAAATCGTTCGAAAGGCACGCCAAAGAAAAGAAAGCAGACGGTGCCGTAAGAAGGCCTGGCGTTTACTAAAGTTCGACAAATCTGGAATCTGCAGAGCACAGACGCACAGAAATGCAACTACGGTCGATTATCCGTGGAAAGTCCGGAAAGAGCAATCCAAAGGAGTCAATATTACCATAAAACAAAGCCAGTGGCACATTTTATAACAGTCTATCAACCCCGAATGCGAAGGCTGAGGGATACAGCACAGCCCTTCATGCAACAGGTAAAGTGCTACAGAGGGCTATACACGCAAAGGAGCGCGCTACAAGTGTACGCAACTCAGCAATGGACATAAATTCCATGAACCCAGCAACGGGCTTATCGAAAGCAAGCCGAACAAGCAGGGTGTCTAAAAAAGTAACTCTGGGTGAGGAATCCTAAGCGACATCCGAGTGTCAACCACCATGCTCAAAATCTGTGCTCAATGAGGATACAACCATGAAGGCCGTACAAGTGTCTGTGTCTCAACCTACTGCCAATAAATGAGGACAGAATGCAGTCACCTGTTTTTTTTTTCCAGAGAGATCACACTGAGTGGCAGTTCAAGGAGTTCCTGAGGCCCAAGGTGAAACCCCAATAAGGGGGGTGTCAAACAACCTCCTGACATCCCTTAATTAACTCAACGACACCCAAGAAACGATTGAGGTAGTCAACATTTACGATACTGGCAAGATCTTATTTCGCAGCCGTGCGTGCTAGGCGTTAGAGTTAGGGGTTTGGGTTAGCGGTTGGGCTTGGGGTTTAGGGTTAAATTGAATTAAATTAAAATTAAATTAAATTATTTTTATTAAAGACCCGTCGGGGTCCCATCAAAGCAAGTAAAAATAAATTTACATGCAAATTTTTAGACGAGGTAGGCAAAATCTGTACAAAGTGTAATGCATAGATTTTGAGATTAGAAGTCCGTTAAGCAAAATGAAAATGAAAAAACGAGGGGTGAAAAAAAAAACTCCAAAGCAAAATTTAAAAAATGATTGTAGTAATTTAACAGGAGAAAAAACCCTCAGAAAAATAGCATCAGAAAAACACAAGGAGGACTGGTCTGCATGTGGCGGTACAGAATGGATTATAGTCCGACATCAACATGGCCGAAATAAATGTCAGATGTATATGGCATTGTGTAACGGATCTCATAAAATGGTACGTAGGCTGGTCGGTCAGGACTGTTGGGGTTAAGGATTAAGGTTGGGTGTTGGGGTTAGGGTTAGGGGTTTGCTTGGTGCTGGTCTACTGCAGGTACGGCTACAAAATAAGATCCGACCAAAATATCTGTTGTATGCGGCGTATAGTTAGAAAAGACGCAGAGGAAATGCAACCAAGTCCATTGAAAGTCATGTTGGGAAGCAAAGCGCAGACAGGTCTTGCTTTGTCTCGCATATCCAGCCTACGAAACGACAATCGTGGAGTGTTTTTTTCAGTCGAATGACCCACCAGTCGATCGGATTAAAATGAAGGCTTTAGTTAAAGAACTGAAAGAGGGCCAGAGTGAGGGCGAAATAAACCGAAATATGATAAAAAAATCTCTAATCTGGAGCGCTCGTTGTCTTTCGAATCGTCCGATAAAATTGGCGACAAATGCATCGGCGTTCAGTCTCATCAGACATCTGTAGTCTTGAAATCAGATAGTAAACTTGATACGTCGTAAGAAATAACCCGAGATAGCTTCCAACCGCAGGAACTAGCAAATAATTTCCATAGATCGGAAATAATAAATAATGTGACAATGATGTGCACTAACGTGCAGATTTTGTTCGAAATAAAACCTATCTTGATAACTCTAACTTAAACATGACTTTATGAGCAAATAAAAGACGCAAAAGTCATGTCGGATGGCCCTTAACTTATTCTCATGCACTGAAATGGACGAAGCAGTGGCGAATCAGGATATTTTTGTGAGATTGCATGGGCTTCGCCATGGTTGAACCTTTCCCAAAGAGGGATAGTAATTGAAAATTACTCAATCGTCATTTGAGAGTACCAAAACAACCAATCCTTGGTTAACAAGCGCCGGGTTAACGGGAAGGTGAGGATGATGCACTCGTCACTGATTTAAATAGGTCGTAGCAAATACGTTATGGTATTTGGAGATCTAAAATCTCCAAACATATACGGATAACTGATGCATTAAGTGCGATCGGAGAACTCTTGCAGACACCAATTTTATTCCTATGCTCACTGATAATCTTCTTACAAACGCATTTCAATGGACACGTTATTCCGCGATGGACGGTGGTCAAGCTGTTCGGAATTGGTAGACAGCCGTTACAAAATCAGGAGGAGATAAAAAAACCCGTCCAGAGTGGGTGACGTCAGAAACCAATAATCACAATAGGGCGGAAAGAAAGCTCTAAAAAACATTACAAGGCGTAGAAAATAATAAGTAAGAGCCGGACTATCACACAATCCAACGAATAACAATGAGGACGCTGATGACGGAACTGAGAAACCATCAGAGCGAGGACGAAGTGAATCTGAAAATAGCAAACAACCAAATTGTAAAAATAAGCCTTCCTTCTTGTAGAATCATCCGGTGACATTGACTATAAAAGCACCGGCGCTCGGTTCCGAAAAACTTCAGTAAGTTCCAAATCAACTAGTGGACTTGGTACGCCATGTGAAATGTGTCGTAGTAACAACCGAATAATATAAA